ATTGGGCTCCCCAGGCCCAAAGCCGGCTTCAACTGGAACTAATGGCCTGGAATTAGTTTCTAAAAACACATCTCTGGACTTAGTCTGCCCTCCTGTCATCCATCTCTCCTTAAAACTAGAGGAGAGATCATATTCCAATGATCAGAGCTGACTAAATCTGCTTGCTCCAGATTTTATAACAATTGTTCTCAAATCCTTTCCCCTTGATGACTTGTCTGAGGCCCAGACTAATTCGCCTGTTTCCTTGGTAACAAGTCATTTCATTCGTCTAGCCTCAGTATGTCCACCGGTAAATGGGTATAAAAACCACTCCTATCTCATAGAGCTGTTATGAGGATTGATACGTTGTCAATACAGTTTAGTTTCTTTCTTTTTTTTTTTTTAAAAAAGATGACTGGTAAGGGGATCTTAACCCTTGACTTGGTGTTGTCAGCACCACGCTCAGCCAGTGAGCGAACCGGCCATCCCTATATGGGATCTGAACCCGGGGCCTTGGTGTTATCAGCACCGCACTCTCCCGAGTGAGCCACGGGCCGGTCCAGTTTAGTTTCTTTCTGGGGTAACTTTTTCTCAACCTGCATCACAGTTCCCTTAAACCCAATGCAGAGCTTGGGGTGGGTAGAAATGGGGCAAGGGGGGGCTTATTTGAATAAGCCGCTCAGAAAATCTGGCACCTAGTAACCCTTTAAGGCTGAGGAAAGACTTCGAATTATTTGAATATTTGAATTATTTTGATATTTTAAGCTCCCACTCCAGCACCCCCACAACCCTATGGTGGAGCAATGGGGCACACAGGTAGAGGCTGTGGAGTCCCAAATCTGGGTTTGAATCCTCATTCTGTACCTACTATTTATGTGGCATGGATAAGCCAGATAGTAATGAGGGATATAAAGTGCCTAGCACAGTGCCTGGTTAATAGCAGGCGCCAAACAAATGGAAATCATTATTATTTCCCGCAGAGCCCTATATTTCTACATAGAGAAAGTAAGACTGGGAGTGTTTATGGGAATAACCCTGATCACTAAAACCGCTAATCTAGGGAGAAATGGGGCTGTAGTGACTTGTCCAAGTTTCAAGGGATATGACAGCTAGCCATAGGGAGCACTTCTCTAGGCCAGGCATCAGCCATCATCTCACTGAATCCCCCAAAGGCCATGGGGTAGAATCTGTTGTTCTGCCTATTTTATAGGTGAGGAAGCAGAGGCTCAGAGACAGTGAGGAACTTGCTGGGAGTCACAAAGCAAGGCAGCAATGTCTGCCTGACTCCAGAGGCAGTGCTCCTAACCCCTGCGCCAGATCTCAGAGCAGCTGCCATTTATGGGGGTCTTATTTAAATATCATTCACTCATCTCCCCCCCTCCCCACTCCACCTCTCTGCCCACCTCATAAGTGTCTTGAGAGCTGTTTGGCTTCTGTCTGTCCATCTGCAAAAGGGAGGTGATCACCCCAACCCCACCCTGTCCAAAGGGGTATGGGGAACAATAGGTGCGGATGGCCTGGACAATTTCATGCTCCTGACTCTGAAGCCCAGCCCAAGGACACCAAGCACCCAGAGCAGAGCCAGACTCTGCCAAGGAAGCCATAAGCTTGTAGCCACAGCTGCTTCCAAGCGCAGGCCCCGCCAGAGCCCACCTCCCTCCAGTCTTCACTTTCGCTAATGACATCATCAATCAGGGTGACCACGTTTCACACCATTACTCGCAGCTCAGCTGGAAGCTACACATTTCCCCCCTCACCCATCACCTTCCTGAAAGCAAAGAGCTTTCTAGAAGAAAAAAGAATCCAACCAATGTTTTTCTTAGTACCTACCATGTGCCTGGCACGGCTACCCTTAGTACAACTCTGAGAGTAGGGATGACTCTCTTTTACAGAAGAAGAAACGGGACCAACGGAGTGAATGCATGTGTACAAGGTCACAGGGAACTGGAGCACAGATAGCCATGGCAGTGATACATTATTAAGCCCTCACTGGCTCACAGTGCCAGGCACTATGCACAGTCCTATTGAAATGTTATCATTTTCTTTCTTTCTTTTTTTTTTAAAGATGACTGGTAAGGGGATCTCAACCCTTGACTTGGTGTTGTCAGCACCACGCTCAGCCAGTGAGCCAACCAGCCATCCCTATATAGTGATGGCTGGTTAGGTCACTTGGGAGAGCGTGGTGCTGACAACACCAAGTCAAGGGTTAAGATCCCCTTACCGGTCATCTCTTAGAAAAAATAAAAAAAGAAAGAAATGTTATCATTTTCAGATGGTCCTGTCTGAGGTCACACACTAGTGAAACATGAGCAGCACAGTGGCACAGGGCTGAGAGGGTGTCTCTCTGTTCAGGCAGAAGAGTGCTCCATCCTGATTCTGTCACTGACTAGCTTAGCGACCTCAGACGAACCTCATCACCCCTCTGAGCCTCAATTTCCTTATCTGAAAAAGGGGATAATACAAACATCTATCCTATTGTGTGTAATTACTATGGTAAGGATAAAAACAGTAAAACAGCTAACATTTATTGATTGTTTAACATGTGCCAGGCACCTTGCCAAGCACTTTACATATGTATGCTCATTTGGTTAAATGAGGTAATGCATATAAAGTGCTACGCACAGGACTCCTGGAATGGGGGTGATAATGATGATGAAGAAGCTGATGACGATTCTCTAGGGCAAATCTCCCTGGTTCATCCCCTTACGGGAAGAACAGAGTGGCCCACAAGGTTTCAGGAAAGAGGTAGACTAGGAAGGAAGGGTAGGGTTTAAACAGGGGAGGGAAAGGCAAACAAATAAAAATCAGGGAATGAACAGTGTTAATAATGTTGTCAAGATGATATACCAAATAGAATTTGGGAAAGCAAGGGACCCACGATGTTCTACAGAATGGAACCAGATAAAGATGCACCAAAACCTCCATGCAGGGCTAGCTGGTTAGCTCAGTTGGTTAGAGTGCAGCCTTATAACACCAAGATCATGGGCTCAGATCCCCAACAAAACCTCTGTGCCTGCCCAGACATTGTCCCCAAGTCCCAGACAGGCAGAGCTGGCAGGACCCTAGAACTAGACCAATGATTCTTCTCATTTTGCAGATGGAATAACCTAGGCTTACAGTGGGGAAGAGACTTGCCCAAGTTTGCAGGATATCCTTAGAAGAGCTGGACTTGAAACCAGGCCTCCTACCTCTCAGCTCAGTGCCCAAATACCTGCTGCTTCCCACAACGAACAGTACAGGGGGGCAACCTGGATATGTTTGGGCCACAATTCTAGGAGAGCATCCCACAGCATGAATCATTAAGATAATAATAAAAAGCTATAGTTTATTGAATGTTCTCTCTGTACCTGGCACAGTGCTAAATTCATTACATAGGTTTAAACCTCACAACAATTCTAAGAAATAGGAACTGTTTATATTATCTCAATTTAACAGATGACAAAACTGTGGCTCAGAGAGGGTAAGCAACTTGCCCAAGATCACACTGCCAGGAAGTGACAGAGCCGGGACTGGAACTCAGGTCTGCCCTGTCAAATTCCAATACCTTTACTACCCTACACTTGGTCCACCTGAATGGTACAGTCCCTACCTGCTTCCCTTAACCCCCAGACCCCCCTCACGCCCTGCTGCCCCACCCAAAGCAAGTCCATCCCAATGACAGAAGAGTGTTTAGAACTGGCCTGCTCCATTGCAATGGTTAAACTCCAGTTGAAAAAGAAAAATGAAGGCTGGCTGGTTAGCTCAGTTGTTAGAGTGTGGAGTTAATAACACCAAGGTCCAGGGTTTTATCCCTGTTACCAGCCAGCCACCAAAAAAGAAAAAAGAAAAATGACAGTTCCTCCTCAAGTTTTCAGCTGAAAAACATTTTTTTTTTCCTTTTTGTCTTTTTTTTTCGTGTCCGGCAACGGATCGCAACCCTCAGTGTCGCGCCCGTACCGGACCGGGACCGGCAACGGGATCGCAACCCTCGGTGTTGCTCCGCAACCCTC